GCCAGAGGGGGCCGCCGGACACGGGAGGATAGTGGAGTAGTGAGGAAGGACAGGGCCCCCAGAGGGGTCTGCCAGAGAGACTGCAACTGGCTGGCCAAGCGGCGTGAGTGTGGTGCGGTCTCGAAAGAAGGAGCGAGAAGCCCCCGAGTCAAGGGTGAAGGTGTGGGAGGCCGAAGCCGGCGCAGTACCTGAGAGAGCAGACTCATCAGCACCTGAGGGAGCAGACGCACGAGCACCTAGAGCAGCAGCCTCGCTAGCACCTAGAGCAGCAGCCTCACCAGTACCTAGAGCAGCAGTCTCAATGCCCGGGTCGGGCGGAAAACACCGGTAACAGTCACCCTTATCACTAATAGTCATAGCATACATGGCAGCAAGAATAGCATCAAAGTCAAGGTCAAAGACAGCTACTCCCGCCCTAGAAAGCTCGCCCCAGCGGGGGATCTCATTGGCCTCCGGGAACTGGTGACGCCAAGCGTTCGTCAGGCGGCCAAAGCAGCGCTGGGTGGAGTGCGCACGCCCGCACTGCTCACCTGCGCGGTCGCCGGTGCGTAGGACGTAGGTGCACGGACCAGTTCCCCCACCCCGCTGGCGTGCAGCGTACCACTCACGGAGCTGCTGAGGGGGGGTGATGTCATGAGTGCGCTGCTGCTGCTGCTGCTGCTGCTGCTGGCGCTGACCACCACCGGAGCCGACCCTCTGCGCAGCACCACCCCGACCAGCTCCACCTCCACCGCCACCGCCTCCTCCACCGCCGCCACCTCCGCCACCTCCGCTCCCACCGCCACCGCCGCCGGCGCCTCCGCCTCCACTGCCGCCACCAACACCTCCACCCCCGCCACCACCCCCACCGCCACCCCCACCCCCTCCAACGCCTCTACCGCCTCCTCCACCGCCCCCGCTAGCTCCTCCAGCGCCCCTGCCCCCCTTGCCCTTGCCAGGGCGGCGTCTCCCGTTAGGGGTAGACGCCACACGGACCGACTCAAGCCCAACGAGGTCGGCCGCAGCAGTAGAGGCAACAGAGGGCAAAAGGGGGGAGGGGGAACACCCCTCAAAGATGGGAGTGCGAGGGTCACCACGAGAGGCTCCTACACCTACTATGCTCTTCTCTGCTGCTAGGAGGGCCTTCTCGAGGAGGTCAACGGTGAGAGTGGTGGGGCAAACTGAGAGGAAGTGGTCCCTGACTACGCGAAGGGAGTCAGGGAGCCGGGTGACTATGTAGTAGAGGGTGATGTACATGGGGGGGGGGTTCTTGGCGCAGAACTCAGCAGGAAGCGCAGCGCGGTATCGAGTGTCACTAGTGCGGAGGTGCGTAATGAGGTCAGCGACTGTGGGAAAGGCAGCAAGGTCAGGGAAGAGGTAAGGTAGCATGAGGCGGCTCAGTGCAGCAGTGGCAGGGGAGGAGTAGTGTGCAACTACAGCGTCGTACAAGGTCTGAGCACTCTTGTACTGACTAAAGTGCGCACGCTCAGAGGTAGGCAGGTGGCGACGTACAGCAAGACGTGCAGCAGCATCGCGTGTGGCCCACTGTGAGTGAACAGAGGCGTCTGCATCAGCAGCAGGGGCAGGAGAGGCACCAGAGGTGAGGTCAAAGAGGGAGAGACCGTCTGCCCTATCGCACTGTAGGAAAAGCTGCAGGTCATCTACCCAGACGTCAAAGTCAATGGCCCGACCCTCAGCGTCAAAAGCGAGGACACTAGGGGTAGCCATGACAGCAGTAGACTAGCAGCGCGAACAGTAGGGTAAGGGCAGTGCAGTGACAGAGGCGCTGCTCTTACCGGACAGGGCGGCTCGGCGGCTCGGCGGCTCGGCAACTGGGCGGCTCGGCGGCTCGGTGACTGGGCGGCTCAGCGGCTCGGCTCGGGCGGCTCGGCTGCTTGGCGGCTTGACTGTTGGGCGGCTCGGCTGCTCGGCGGCTCGGCTGCTGGGCGGCTCAGCGGCTCGGCGGTTGGCTGCTGGGCGGCTCGGCGGCTCGGCTGCTGGGCGGCTCGGCGGCTCGGCTGCTAGGCGGCTAGGCGGCTCGGCTGATGGGCGGCTCGGCTGCTCGACGGCTCGGCTGCTGGGCGGCTGTGCCGCTAAGGAAGGCGGGGCCGCGAGGGGCGGCGGGGCCGCTGAAGTGAGCGGCGACGGGGCCGCAGAGGAGGCAGCGGGAGGGCCGCTGAAGGGGCGGCGTCGAGGCCGCTGCAGGGGTGGCGACGGGGCCGCTGAAGAAGGCGGCGGGGTCGCTGAAAGGGCGGCGACGGGCCGTAAGGGGAGGGCGGCGACGGGGCCGCTGTAAGGGCGGCGACGGGGCCGCTGTAAGGGCGGCGACGGGGCGGCTGTAAGGGCGGCGACGAGGCCGCTGTAAGGGCGGCGACGCGCCGTAAGGGGAGGGCGGCGACGGGGCCGCTGCAAGGGCAGCGACGGGGCCGCTGTAAGGGCGGCGACGGGGCCGCAGGTGAAAGGGCGGCGACGGGCCACAGGGGGAGGTCGTAGACGGGCCGCTGAGGGCGGTACGACGGGGCCGCAAAAGGGGCGGCGCGACGGGGCCACGAAGGGGCGGCGCGACGCGGCCGCGAAGGGCGGCGCGACGGAACCGCTAAGGGCGGCGCGACGGGCCGCTAAGGGCGACGCGACGGGGCCGCTAGGGAAGGCGCGACCCTAAGCGCGCTTCGGGCAGTGGCGGGACACGCCCCGGGCAGGAAAAAAAAAGTCGGTGGGCCCTAGGAACAGTTCCCACTAGGGAACCTGCTCGATACCATGAGAAAAGAGAACGAGAATGGAATCACTAAGGGAAAGTTGGGTACAAGTACAAACCCCAGAAAGCTGTACCCCATATGTGCTACCCCACTATAGCCTACAGTAGCTATGTTTTATAAATCTGACAAGAGGGAGAGAGAGAGAGAGAGAGAGAGAGAGAGAGAGAGAGAGAGAGAGAGAGAGAGAGAGAGAGAGAGAGAGAGAGAGAGAGAGAGAGAGAGAGAGAAAAGCAAACGGGCCAATCCGGAAGAGAAGGTGAGGAGTGCGCAAACGACCTATCCGGTATGGGCTCATCCACACACGGCTTCGTTGTTGGTACATGCACTCGTATCAAGGACGATAAGCGCCCGTTAAAAAAGAAAAAAGAAAAAACAAAAGAAGGCGTACTCACAGTCCGTGCCTTTCTGCGACCCGTGGCACAGATACATCGGAGATCGGGATGGGCGAGCAGCACATTCCCTACGAATACGCGATCACAGACGAGCTCGTAACAAGGATGCGCGGGCGACTACGCGCGGCATTTCCATGGTGGAGTTCATGGTGCGAAAGCAGCTTGATACTATCAGTAATCGTACACGGCTACTGGATGCCGTGGAAACTTGCCGCCCCGGTGCTGTTCCAGCGGGACAACCATGCGGGCGCACAGATCCACGCCCAGTTCACCAAACAGGCTATCTGCAAGCTCCTGGAAAGCGGCGCAGCGGCTCTCGCCCCTGCGGATTAGGAATGAAATGAGACGATGCCATTGCTACAACAAGAAAGCAAGCTTTCTAAATCTTTTCACATTTGTGCTGTCACAACAGCTGCTAGAGATGAATATACATAATTCAACCACTAGCCACGATTCAAATGAGCCCCGGTAAAGATGGCTAATAAAAGTGTAGATAGAATATTCAAGTCCACCAAATATGGCATAAATAATCATGGGATGCATTGTGAAACTTCCCTATCACTATCCATTCACCTTTCTTATCAACAGTCAGGCCCCTTATTGGAATCCTTTATCATATGAATTATTCCATTTTGGGAGGTGTTTCATTGTGGTGTAGAAAATGACATGACAAACCTGGGCTGAAGGCGCTCTCTCATCTGGATCAGGTGCACTGACTCCATCATTACCACCGAGCGTAGACATTCCCTACCAACCAGCATTTCAGCCAAACCTCTCCGCTCCGCGTCACTGCCGCCAGAAGCGAGGAATATAAAAATTTAAATCGAACCAGGGCTTGGATTTAGAGGTTCCCCCCGCGAGTCATGAGCAGAAAACAGATTCCTGCCTAGAGTAGGCGGTCCCAGGGTTACCTGCGACGGTGAGTTCCTTTAGCCTGGCCAACACGTGGAACAGGGGGCACTATATCAGGGCTCGGGCTCGCGCCACAGGAATCTGGTGAAACCACAGGAATCTGGTTTACGCGTCTGCCAGACTTCCAGTCAAACCACCCCCCCCCCCCCCCCCCCCCACACCCCCCCCCCCCTTCCCGACACAAAAGCGGGAAAAGCTACCAGTGCACAACCGCTCCCCCCACAGCCAGAAGTTTTCAATCAAAACTTGAAAATAGTTTTGCCTTCTGTTGCATAAAAAATCCCACCAGTGTTTACGAGATTCGGAACTACTTAAGGCATGAAGTAAGGGGAAACCCAGACGACACCGGAATATCTGAGATCCGTGGTTTTTTCGCATGCAGCATCGCGAAACCAGGGGAAGAACACAGGTCAGGGAAGGGCCTTGTTCAAGGGCGGTCAGGCAGTATTTGTTCAGGCGGGAAAGGTCCATTCGTGTCCGTCCGTCTCCACGAGATGACGGGACGGGAATCATCCGGACGGAAACTATGCCTCCCAGTGAGACCCCCCGAAACCCGCGGAAGCAAGGTCGTCCTCCTGTGTTGTCGGAGCAGCATCGGTGGGTGCTGCTTGTCTCTGCTTGTCTCTCATCAGCATCGAGCACCCAGGCTGCAGTGAGGACAGTAAGCTTAGTATCTAACCAGATGTCGCTCTAGGTTAGCTAAGGCTTCTGGTTATAGAGTCTAGGGCGGGAGGAGAATATCGACGTTTAATTCACTGAAACAGTGAAGGCATCTAAATATCAGAGAGACAGTCTGTTCGCGCGGAGTCTTCTGGGAAGCAAAGCTTAGGAACCAGTTTCGTAGTAGTAGTACTAACTTCCGCCGTCGTAGGCGGTCTCGGATCCACCGACGGAGTGCTGACCCTTGATTCGCTTTGAAAGATAGAGAGGGAATCAAGCGGAACGACGAGCGCGGCGAGCGATGTCGTCCGGAGCCATCGCGACGGACGCATCGGCGAATGGCGCGGCGCAGTCGCCGCCGCCGCAGAGCAACGGCAACACGGCGATGACGTACGCGTCGGTGATCTCGCTGCACCAGCTCAACATCGCCGTGATCGCCGTTCTCGTCCTCCTCGTGCTGCTCGTGCTCGTCCTCTCCATCGCCAAGGCGCGCTCCACGTGGCTCCACCGCCGCGCCGTCTTGCGTCAGCAGGCGGAAAGCGCGCAGAACCTTCGGCCGGTCGGGCACCGCGGTCTGCTGGTCGACGACCGGCCGGGGAACGGTATTCCCGAGGAGCTAATAAAGCTGCTAGGGCAAGTGGTGGCGTTCGAGGCGGCGAAGGTTGGCGGGGAGTGCGAGAGCGAGCGCGAGTGCATCGTGTGCCTGGGGGAGTATAACGAGGGCGACATGGTGCGCGTGCTCGACGCGTGCCACCACATGTTCCACCAGGTGAGACGCGTGTCAGCACGTGTGGCATTAGGTGAGGCGCTTGTTCCATCAGGGGAGATGCGTGTGACTGCATGGACGAAAACGTACCAAGAGCACGGATGAGGCCGTATCACACCCGTAGAGTGTGAACGAGCGAGTTGGAGCAATACCCTAGGGCGGACGGTGTGAGTGAGTGATGGATCTACAACAGTAAGGGGCTGTGGGGCGCAGGGTGTGGGCAGTAAGGGGCCGTAGGGCGCAGCATGTTGGCGGTATGGGACCGTAGGGCGCACAGTAAGGGCGTCGATAGGACCTGGCGTGTGGCCATCGCGCTCCCGCGTGTTGGACGCCGCTAGTTCTGCTGCTACTTCACATGCCACTCCCTCCAAGCTGCCCATCGTCTTCTAGATCGCCGCCTCATTCCCCCTCCCCCCTCCTCTCCCCCGTTTCCCCCCTTTCCTTCCCCGTCCTTCCTCCTCGTCCCCCCTCTTCTCCCTCTTCCTCTGTGCCCCGTGCCCGCCATGCTCCCCCTCGCTTAACCGCCCGCGCCCGCTGGTGTGCACAGGATTGCATAGACGCGTGGCTCAAGGCCCACAACTCGTGCCCCATCTGCCGCACCGTGCTGCTCCCCGCACGCCCCCCTCACACTGCTGCCGGGGCAGAGGCTGGGCAGCATTTGCACGGCCACCACCACCACAGCCACCACCACCACATGCACCACCACCACCCGCACCACCCCCACCACCACCACCACCACGACCCCGAAGCTGCTCTTGGTCACGCACACCCATCGCCGCACCAATCGTACCCATCTTTAGACGAATCGCACCCATCCCCAAACCGATCACGACCATCATCGGACCAGTTAGGTCCATCCCCGGATGAAGCGGGTATATCGTTGGTCCATTTGCACACGGACCAATCACATGCCGCTCATGGCCACGTGCATGAGATGCAGGAGCAGAGCGGTTACCAAGGCAGCATCACTGCTGTGAATGCCGAGGGCGGAGATGTTCCTGAAGGCAGCGATACGGATCCTTCCGTGGCTGTGCCTGTACTTGAAGCAGTGACTGGGGCCGAGGTTGCTGCGTCAAAAGTCTTGCTGGTAAAAGAGAGGGCGGAGTGCAGAGAAAGCAGGCATGTGGGTGTGGAGATAGCTTGTGCTGCTGGAGGAAATGGGAGCATGGAGGGAATTGTGTAGAATCCACGCATTTGCACGTAGCAAAGCAAATTTGAAGGGCGGTGTGCCCTTCTAGCCAATCTGTAGGCATGCTGCTAGCTCTCAATGCTGGCACATTACGAGCATTAGTGTGTACAGTTTTGTTAATATCCCGAGCCATTTTTTTATTGCTCTATCCATACAAACACGCGAGCATAAAACGAACCATTCAGGCCGTGCTCGTTTACTGGCGGGGTGCGAATTCCCCCAACCAGTTTTGTTCTGTCCGCTCGTACGAGCATGTCAGGATGTGTCAGCAACCAATCGCTGATTGGTTGAAGCCTGTTGCACATTGCCCCTGTCGGAGCTGACCTGCAGTCTGCTCGAGGCGCAAGCGTTGCGTTTTTTTCGAGCCGCGTGAATAAATGCATGCGAATGAAATTCATCAGAAAATCTCACCTAGCTCCAGCAATTTGCTGGTGTTACCTATGGACTTTCTTTTGTAGGTCGCACGTTTCACTCACCTCGTTAGTTGATAAATAACTATCGCACATTCCAGCTTACTGGTTCGAGCAGGTGAGTAAAGTCCAGGTCCCACTGCTCCTCCGCTTTCTGCCTCTGATCATACCGGCAGCGCACGGTGACGTTAGAGAAGAGATCAGATGCTGGTATAGATCCCGGTCACTGATCTTGTTTCGGGGCTGTCTCAAACCTAGACCCTGGCTAAGGTTCCCCAACAAAGATGAGTTGCTCGTCCATCACGATTCTCGCCTCTCGGGCCCTCCTAGTCGCGCTTCTCGTGTTTTACCTCCCCCATGCCCCTCTCGCCTTCGCATCTCTGGTGGCCTCTGGATCGCTTTACTCTCCGAGCTCACCATCCGTACGCAACCATGACACGAATCCATTCATTGCGTTTCGGGACTTCTTCGCGGAAAGAACCGGATTTTCTCAATCAAATCACGCGCTGGACCCTCCTGAAGCGGTTACCGGACCTCCGTCTAACGAGTCCGTGAGGCCGTTCAGTCGTTATTTGCAGTCCTCCTCCTCCTCTCTCTCCGATTGCCCCTTCACAACGACCAATCCCCTCCACACCTGCGCCATGGGCTACGCCGCATCTGCCGGCGTGACCGGCGGTCACGGGAAGCCTGCCTACGTAGTAACCAACGCCGGCGACTCACTCCCAGTCGGCACCAACGGCTCGCTGCGATGGGGATTAACGCGCGCCTATGCGGCTGCGGGAACCAACGGCATCTACATCACTTTCGCGAAGAAAATCGACGTTTTGCTCCTTGGGCCGCTAGCAGTGCCGTCCGGCACGACAATCGACGGGCGGGGAGTTGCCGTCCGGCTGTTCGGGTCGTCCGTCGTGGTTCGCAACGCACGGAATGTCATTGTGCACAATATCGAAGGTACGACTCGAGTGAAAAGTGATTCAGTTACCGCAACACGTTTGAATCGTGTGCAGTAAACAGCCTCGCCGGTCGCACCTAACCCGTTCTTCCTTTACGCCCCTTCGACTCCCATCATGCGATACCCCTCCATTTTCCAGTGCAAAGCGTGCAGTTCCCCAACGTGAATAGCGGCGTGAGCATCATCGACAGCACGGTAGTGTGGCTGGATCATGTGCGGGTGCGCGACGCTGTACCGGGGGCTGTGGAGGTCGTTGGTAGCAGCGCGGGGAGCGCCGGGAGTGTGACAATATCGAGCTGCCACCTGAGGAACGTGTATCTGCCCGGTGTGATGATAAGGGGGCCGGGAGCGGGATCGCTCGGCAGTATCGTCAGCACCCGCAGCTCCAACAGCAGTGGCGGCAGCGGGGGAGGCAGGAGCGGGGGAAGCGGCGGAAGCGGGGGTAGCGGCAGTGGAGGCGCAAGAAGCAGCAATAATAGCAGCAGCGGCGCTGCAGGCGGCGGCGATGGCGGGAGCAGTAGAAGAAGAAAGACGCAGGCGACCAGCGGCAGCAGCAAGAGCAGCGGGAATGGCACCAAGACGACGGGCACTAAAAGCACCAACAGCAGCGCCACCAGTTCAGGCACCACCAAGTCTACAAGCCCCCCTAAAAGCGCGACTTCACCCCCTAGAAGCCCATCCTCTCCCCCTAGAAGCCCATCCTCTCCCCCTAGAAGCCCATCCTCTCCCCCTAGAAGCCCATCCTCTCCCCCTAAAAACCCAAGCTCTCCCCCAAAAAGCCCTAGCTCTCCGCCGAAAAGCCGAGACTCTTCGAAAGCGCCGAGCGCGCCGAAGGCTACGAGCCCACCTGGCGGCGCGAGCAGCAGCACCAAGAGCGCCAGCGGCGGCGCCTCTCCTCCGCTGACCGTGACTCTCTTCCGGAACTGGTTTGACTCGAACGACAACGCCAACCCCCAATGCGCTGCCGCCACGTGTCACCTAGCGAATAACCTGCTGTCGAATTGGCGAACGTGGTGCGTCCAGGCGAAGTTTGCGGCAAACTTTCGGTCAGAAGGAAACATTTTTCTTGCCGCCGGGCAGAAAGACGCGGCGCGATCAGACGGCTCGTCTGTGGTTTCTCTAGGAGACAGGCTTGGGAACGGCGCGGTCTTTAACTCGCAAGGGTCGAGCGTGGTATTCACTCCGCCATATTCGATCACGCTCGCGGCGCCTGACACGGCGCTAGAGAGCTTCATTCAGCAGTCCGCGGGCCCGCGCGTCATGGCGCGCCCGCCCATGCAGCCCCCCCCGCCCCCTGCTTCTCCGCCGCCTCTCCCCAAATCCCCACCTCCAGTGCAATCTCCGCCTCCCCCGCCGGCACCGCTCACTAATATCAACATGAATCCCCCTCGTTCTCCGCGCACCCCCCCTCGGTACCCCCCTTTTTCTTCTCCGCCACCACCGACAAACTCTCCCCCAGCCCCCCCCGCTCCCCCGTCCGCGGATCTCCCAGACGCGCAGTGCGCGTTCAATACGGATTTGCCGCTGCACAATTGCTCTCTAGGGTTTGCGCGGGGTGTGCTTGGCGGATACGGGCGCAGCGAATATGTGGTAACCATCTCCAACGATAGCATCATCGCGCCTGTGGAGGGTTCGCTAAGATGGGGTTTGCAGCAGTACAGGGACGGAGTGTACATTCGATTTGAATCCTCTATGACAATTAATCTCAAAGGAAGACTATTTCTATCATCTTACACTACGATTGATGGACGAGGAGGGCAGATTCGAATTCTGGGAGACACGATCGTGGTGCAATCTGCACAGCATGTGATTATACACAATATTGAAGGTGAGGGCAAAGTGTGGCATTCACTTGCTTCACTTTCACACACCTACTCCCTCTTGGTCCTTGCCCTCGCTCCCTCCTCATCCCCTCTCAATCAACCTGCCTCATTTTCAATTCCCTGGACATTTTAATTGCCAATTTTTGTCTCCATTGAAGCAGCGTGTGAAGTGGATGGACTACATGCATCCTCCTCCTCTCCTCTCCCCTGCTCTCTCTCTCCTCTCCCCTGCTCTCCCTCTCCTCTCCCCTGCTCTCCCTCTCCTCTCCCCTACTCTCCCTCTCCTCTCCCCTGCTCTCCCTCTCCTCTCCCCTGCTCTCCCTCTCCTCTCCCCTGCTCTCCCTCTCCTCTCCCCTGCTCTCCCTCTCCCCTCCCCTGCTCTCCCTCTCCTCTCCCCTCCTCTCCCTCTCCTCTCACCTGCTCTCCCTCTCCTCTCCCCTCCTCTTCCTCTCCTCTCCCCAGCCATCCCCCACCCGGACAGCATCGCCATCAAAGCAAGCGCGGGTAATATCTTACATCCTCCCCTCCTCCCCATTCTCCCATCTCCTCTTTCTCTCCCCCCTCCTTTCCTCCCCACCTCTTCCCCTTCCCCTACCAGTGGGCGAGGTCGACCCTGCCCTTTACGGCACGGGGACGGCATGGCCATCAGGGCGAGCAGCACGGTGTGGGTGTACCACTGCCTCGTGCGCAACGCCCCTCTTGGAACCATCGACCTCCTCTCATCCTCCACCACCCCCACCCCTTTTCCTCTCTGATCTGCAGTGGGCGAAGTAGACGAAGCGCCGTATGGCACGCAGGACGGCATAGCCATCAGGGCCAGCAGCATGGTGTGGGTGGACCACTGCCTCGTGCACAACACCCCCATGGGCACCATCGACCTCCTCGCCTCCTCTGACGCGGTTTCCGTCTCGTACTGCCACCTCTCCAACTACCTCCTCCCACTCACCTCCGCCAACGCCACGTCAGCACCGCCCTCCGACGATCCAACGAGCTCCGGCAAGGATACAGGCACGGGCGCAGGCACGGGTGGGGATGGGGGTACCGGAGAGCCTGATGCGGCTCGGGTTACGTACTTTGGGAATTTCTTTGAGGGGCCGTCGGCACCGATGCTGCACTGCCAGGCGTCGCTGTGCCACGTGGCAAACAATCTGTTTGCCAACTGGACCGACACGTGTATCGTGGCGCGCGGAGGCGCGTCGGTGCGATCGCTCAATAACGTGTATGCCAGCACGGTTCCGGGCGCGGCGGGGATTGTAACGGCGAATGCGGACGGCGCGAGTTACTTCGTAACGAGCGGGGATCTGTTGCGGAACGGAGTACGGTTTGTGGTGAGTTTGCCGCCCGGAGTGAGTGGGAGTGCGGGCATGCCGCCTCTGCCCTACTCCCTGCCGGTAGACAAAGCTGACTCAAGCCTTCCAGGCGCGATCAAGGGGAATTCGGGGCCCCAGTTCTGAAGTCTGCTTTTGAGTTCGGGGACTCAAAAGCAGATTCCGGGGGGGGGCCAGTTCTGAAGTGTACCAAGTCCAAACAATCAACCGGCAGATGCCATAGCATCGCATCGCATCGCATCGCAAGCTGGTTGCCATCCGCTCCCATAGCTGCCTTTCTAGTACAAAGTTTGTACCATAACCAGGTTGTTCTGTGTTCAAGTTGTTGGAGTCTTGCAGAATGCAGCATGGTGGGTTGACACTTGACATGATACATGTGAACTGAGTGAACACAGGGAGGTCCAATCTAACTTGTGTGCGTGCACTGCACATTTCAAGGGAGCAGTGGAACATTCTAGGGAGGCAGAAGCTGCCAAAGGCAGCAGTTAGGCGGGCCCCACAGCGAGTCGGCGCGGGCCCAGGTCCTGGCGAGGGCGCTGGGGACACGCATGCACAGGGTTGGAAGGAAGGGGAAGGGAGGAGGGGGTGAGACGTGGGTGCGAGGGAGAGAAGGTGTTTGGTGAAAGGTGTGGCTTGGGGGTGTGGGGAAGTGAGAGATTATGCAGCAGGTGCACATGACATGGGAGGTATTATATCTTTGCTCAGAGTCAACATGGCATCCATGGCTGCACAGAGTCATGGCAGCAGGGCAGCATGTAAAGTGCGTCTATCCATCTATCTATCAGCTGGGCAGAACGCGGGGCAGCAGGCTGTGACTCACGGAGTTGAAGGCGAGGGTGCGGCGGTCGCCCACGAAGCTCAGAAACTCCAACACCTGGCTGTCGGGCACCTTGAGAGGGGTAGCTGTGAAACGGGTGAGAGAGGGGAGGTAAGGAGGTAGAAAAGGGAGGAGGTTGAGGTAAGAGCGTGCCTCAAAGGTCGCCCACGAAGCCCAGGAACTCCCACACCTGGCTGTCCGGCACCTTGGAATCTGACCCACCCTCTAAGGTCGCGTGCCTCAACGGTCTCCCACGAAGCTCAGAAAAGAAAACTCCAACACCTGGCCGCCTGGTACCTTGGAATCTGACCCACCCCCCTCTACCACTCACTTACTGCCTCTCCGCCACGCACCCCCTCACCCTCCCTGCTGCCACTCACCGAGCACAAACCAGTCGACCACGTCCGAGCAGGCAGGGTCGGCCAGGGAGCCCTGGTAGTGGATGTACGCGTGTGAGGCGTCCTGGAAAGGGGTACAGAGGGAAGAAAAAGAGGGGTAGATGGGCAGAGGAGAGAGGTGGAGAGGGGTACAGACAGGTCTTAGGGGTGTGAGCAGACAGGGTCAGCCAGGGAGCCCTGGTAGTGGATGTAGGCGTGTGAGGCGTCCTGAAGATGGGTACAGTGAGGGGAACACAGGGGTGTAAGGGTACAGGAGAGAGGTGGAGAGGGGTACAGATAGGTCTTAGGGGTGTGAGCAGGCAGGGTCAGCCAGGGAGCCCTGGTGGTGGATGTAGGCGTGTGAGGCGTCCTAAAGAAGAGAGAACAGAGCAATAGAGGGGCAGGAGGGAGGTTGAGAGTGGTGGCGAAGGGTGAGGCATTTACATTCTTATGTATCCGCCTATATACGTGCATATGCACATTTGCACATGTCTAGGCATACCTGCCACAGAACATATGAAGAGGGGAAGAGAGGAAGATGGAGGTGTGGTGGTGCTTACGGGTCTGTCCTTGGGAGGCGGCAGCAGCTGGGGGCTGGTCTGCAAATACAGGCTACACAGGCACTGCAGCAGGGTGGCCGACCGACTGACTATATTGTAGTCACGTTTGAGAATTCCCAAAAGTGAGAGGAAGAGGGTGGTAATACTCACGGGTCTATCAAGGGCTGGCAGCAGCGGCTGCGGGCTGGTCTGCACGCGCAGGCACTGCTGCAGCGCGGAGCGGGCACCCCCCCTGCCCACCACCGCCACCTCCAAACACTCCTGAGGGGAGGCACTGGGGGAAGAGCAGGGGAAATGGGGGGGGAAGCGGGGGACGTGGGAGGAGGGGATGGGGAATGTGAGGAAAATCGGGGAGAGAGAGAGAGAGAGAGAGAGAGAGAGAGAGAGAGAGAGAGAGAGAGAGAGAGAGAGAGAGAGAGAGAGAGAGAGAGAGGCAGGGGCCTGTCTCGGCCCCTTGCCTACCACCGCCGCCACCTCCAGACACTCCTAGGGCCCGCTCTGAGGGGGGTGAGAGTGGATGGGGATGCATCATGCATGAGAGGGCGTTGGGGGTTTGCGGGGGGAGAGAGCAGCAGGGACCTGCCTCTGCCCACCACTGCCACCTCCTCACACTCCGAGGAGCTGCTCTGTGAGCAGCGGGAGGGGAGGGTAGATAGGGGGAAGGAGTGAGGAGAATACGAGGAAAATGGGGAGAGGGAACAGCAGGGACCTGCCTGTGCCCAGCACCACCAACTCCTAACACTCCTGGGGCGCAGCTCCGAAGGAGGGCCAAGAGGGGAACGGGGGGGGATGGGAGCAGGAAACGGTGGGGGGGGGGTGGGGGAGGGCATGGGAGAGCGAGCAAGAGGGGCCTGCCAAGGCCCATTGCAGGTACACTCGCTGACACCTCTGGGCGGGCGCACTGGTGTGGGGAGAAAGGTGCAGGAGGCTGCGGGAGAGGGTGTGGGGGGAATGTGGCGGAGGGAGGGGAGGGGAGGGGCGAATGGCAGAGCAGCCATGAAGCACGGGTTGGGAGGGAGGGGCATGCTGTGTGCCGCCATGTCTGCATTGCTGCTTCCACCTTTCATCACGTGTTCTCTGCCATGCTTCCCTATCCCATTTCACCCCTATCCCACTCTCCCATCACGTGTTCTATGCCATGCTCTTTCCTGGCCTCATCACAGCACTCCCATCCCGCCTGCCGCTCACATCTGCTTGTTCTTCTCGCCTGGGGCGAACAGCAGAGCCGCATCCAGACCACACGCAGGGTGCACTTGTTTCTCTGCTGTGTTTGCCTCCCTCTCGCCCTTTCTCACCTCGCCTCATCGCACTGTTTCCATCGCGCCCACCACTCACATCTGCTTGTTCTTCTCTCCCGGCGCAAACGCCAGAGCCGGCTCCAGGCACTGGTTGTTCTTGTAGCTCTACTACTGTGCTGCTGCTGTGCTCGCCTCTCTCTCCCCCTCTCCTGGCCGCATCACAGAGCTCCCCCATCACGCCTGCAGCTCACCCGCACCCCCCCGCCACTCACATCTGCTTGTTCTTCTCCCCCGGCGCAAACGCCAGAGCCGCCTCCAGGCACAGGTTGCGTGGGGCCCGCGGGTCCGCCTCTATCATCACTCTGGCGAGAGGGGAGAGGGCGGAGGGGAAGGGGAGAGGGGGAGCGGGAAGTGGGGGGAGCCTTCAGGGGGCAGTGGGGGAACGCCCTCACTCTGGGGAGGGGGGGGAGGAGCAGGGCGTTGGGTGGGCGTTGGGGGAGCGGCGTGTTTGTGGGACGTTCGTGGGGGGATTGGCAGAGGATTGAGGTGCGTGTGTGTGTGTGTGCATCAGCGGGGTATTGGAGAGGCAGGCAAGAACGGATCATGTGAAGCCGTGCAACGCGGGTGCAGCATCACGATTCATGAACTAGCAGTGAGCCACGTGACTAAAAACGAGCGGCAGCAGCATCACCAGCACGCGGTGGCGACTCACCCAATGACTGCCAGCTTGCCGTCAGCATCGCCTGCACGGGAACGAGGTGGGGAGAAGGAAGGGGAGAGAAAGCCGTGAGAGGGACGGGGGGAAGGAGAGGCGCACATTGCCCATAAAAAATGTAGCAGGGAATCAACCACCGCTCTCCACCCCCCCTCTCCCAATCGCGCATGATCCATGATGGCCAACGAAACGCGCCCCCTGTTGAAACGCCACAGTACAACTCGATACAGTCCCTTCGTTACAGCGACGCGAGGTGCACGAGGTGCGCCCCCATGGGGCAGCGCACGCCGTTGAAGGAATAAAGAAGGTGCCACCCGCTACAATCGCTAGCTACATTCCCTCGCTACAATCCCCTCCTACAGTCACTCGTTACAGTCACTCGCTACACGTACGGTGCACGAGGTGCGCCTCCATGGGGCAGCGCACGCCGTTGAACGAGTGCTCGCTGGGCGCGTGGAAGTGGTACTGTAGCAGCTGCAGCTGCCGCCCGCCCACCGCGCACGTGTTGCTGCCACCCGGGAAGTTCACCTGCGGGCGGCAGAAGCGGATGAGAAGGGGGCGAGAGGAAAACGGGAGTGAAAATGGGAGAGGACGGGGGAGAGAGGGGGAATGAGGGGGAAAGTGAGGGGGGGTGAGGGGTTGAGAGGAGGAGAAAGGACGGGTGAGAGGGATAGAGAGCAGCGAGGAGAATGAGCGCATGGCACGACTTCCGAGACGTCTCAAAAATCTCAACGACTCGCCTGCATTGTGCCGTGCCCCGTGTTCAAGAACGACGCGTCGGCGTTCTTATACGCGAATGTGATATTGCCAAGGCTGTTGTCTCTCGTCAGCTTTGACACCGCGTTCAGCGGACCGCCGGTTGCGGACTGCGCCGCGTCGCCCGCCGAGCACAGCTCGCCCCACTCCATCGGCCCGGAAACGTCCTTGCTCGAATCGGCGGCCAATGCGGCTCCGATAGAGGATCCCCCGTTAGAGTCACAGATGGGACAACCCACGACCGCAGCCATTCCCGCCGCCAGTCCTCCGAGGATCAGCCGCCGATTGACGACGCGCGGCCCAGTGTGGCCGTGGGAGGCGCTTTTGGGCTCTGCGGCCGCCTTCCCGTCTTTAGCGGCGCAGCGGACGGCAATGGCGGGAGCGTTATTGGCGGATGTGAGGGGAGCTGCGCAGGCGGCGAGGCTGACGGGCCGGCCGAGCATCTCGCATTTCTCCAGCGAAGATTGGACGCAAGCAGCAAGCGGCGCGCGAAGCGACGACGAGGTGGCAAGAGCAGCCATTGAGGCAACAAAGGGAACCGGGCTTCACGGAGAAGAACTGATCGTCTAGATCTTAGCTGTCCTTTACTTGTCAGCACTCATCAATGCTTCTTTCACTTCAGGTTTTAAGTTGTGCCAGAAAGGGTCCGTCCAAGTGGCTTGAGTTGCACCAAGCGTTGGAGATTAAAGGGCAGTGCGTAACTTCCTTCCAAAAAACACTCAGCGTAACTATTGCTGGGGTACTTAGAAGTATGCGCTCACGTGATGGAAAGACAGGGGAATGAATAGGAAATCTCGGTTTTTCTTGCAGCATCGCTAAGCGTCGTCACGAGAACTCTGGGTGTCGACAAAATGAAATTTCTTCCAGTGCCAGCCATATCAAGGTCATGAGCTTCGCGAAATCTACGGCTCTCAGATTGCTTTCAGCCAGTCGATCAATATCCGACATCCGTTTACGAAGCGCGCATTCGATGTGATGGCCATGTCATCAGGAACAAGCAGATCGATCTCCACGTGGTATACCCTGCGTACTGCAAGGCTTCGCTACCGCTTTTAAATTCACATGAAAAAGAGTTCGCCATGTTGTGTAGTGTATTGTACCATCAGAATTCCATCCGCGCAATCATGGAGACTTCGACCGGCATAAACTTGAAATTACTCTCCCACATCCCTGTGATTGACTCGTCTGTGCTGGCAACACCTCGCTTGAATCACCATTTCCCCCTCCACGCAGTGGTGGAGAATCCGCGGCACGCGGGACCGGGGGAACGTTCGCCAAGCATTTCGTGTGTCGAATGAAGGTGACCCACGTGTTCAGTATTGAGTTGTGCAAAGTCGCGCCACCCCAGATTCAACCAGGCTCCTTGGAGTTGTCACTCGTGTGGTCTGGGGTGTGGGCTGGGCGGGATCTTTCATTTCAAGCAGTGCCCCAACCAAAATAAGGGGGTAAGAAGCTAAACTAGCACGAGAGTAGCGAACTCTTGATGTTTCGAAGGCATGATTAGTAGGTTGATCTGATTGACCTTGTCGATCCCTTCGGATCTGCCACGCCCAGTACCGAACTTTCGGCTCAACCATGGCGTCTAGCGCTTTCGAAACGTACTGGAAGGTAGGATTAAGTCAAGGTTATCTTGGGAGCAGACGCGTTTTCGTCGGCTTGGTATCTGACGTGAACGGCATCCTCTGCAGGTCCTGACTGACAACTTCACAGACTTCCAGCTGGCGACCATCGGAAGTTTTCTGATCCATGAGTGCGTCTTTTTCATGTCTGGCCTGCCTTACCTGATACTCGAGAATTTAAATGTCCGAAAATACAAACTCCAGGTGCGTCACCATCCCGTGATCCTTTGTGGTATGGCTCCGCTAGCAACTACGGGTAGGATCTGAGCGTCGTTTGTTTCCATTGCAGAAAAAGTCGAACCCGGCGTCGTCACAGATCAAATGCGTATTGAAGCTGCTGATGTACCATTGCCTGGTCAACCTACCACTGATTATGGCGTCCTACCCGGTTTTCAAGTACATGGGCTTCAGAAGCACGCTTCCCCTCCCGCACTGGTAATGCTTCCGCTCTCTTTGCAGTTTGCATGGGTAGATCGCCTCGTCTAGTTGGTAAGCTTTCTCACCTTTCACGACGGCGCTTGCAGGAGTACCATCGTTACCCAGATCGTGAGCTATTTCCTTATCGAGGATTTCGTGTTTTACTGGGGTCACCGTGCGCTGCACTCGAAATGGCTGTACCAGAACGTCCACTGCGTCCACCATGAGTGAGTGCCGCTGCCAGTCGCTCCCCGTTACTCTCCCTCCGCCCCCTCATGCTAAGTCTCCTTTTCCTCGCCCTTTTGAGACTTCAGATACGCGACGCCGTTCGGGTTGACATCGGAGTACGCGCATCCCGCAGAAATCCTCTTCCTAGGGTTCGCCACCATTCTCGGCCCCGCCCTCACGGGTCCGCATCTGCTCACCCTCTGGCTCTGGATGAGCCTGCGAGTCCTCGAAACCGTTGAAGCACACAGCGGATTCGAGTTCCCCTGGAGTCCTTCCCGCTTCATTCCCCTCTACGGCGGGTACGTTCATTTCACATCAGATTATGCAATTATACCTTCGCCTCTACAAAGTCCTCTGAGCATGTCATGCGACTCGTGATGGCTGCAGGGCGGAGTACCACGACTATCATCACCGCTGCGTGTACACGGACTCCGGCAACTATTCGTCCACGTTCATCTACATGGACTGGTATGTGGGCTTGGATTGCTCGCACATACGGTATATGTCCCATGTTGCCCGCTGATATCGACCTATGCGCTGCGCAGGATCTTTGGAACGGACAAGAACTACAGGAGAATGAAGGCTTTGAAGGCAGGCAGTGCCAAGGACGAGGCTCCTACAACCAATGGCACGAAGAAGGACTCTTAGGCTTGAAATTTTTACTCTTTAGACTGTAACTTTCCGTTGCAATCTCTGCAAGGCGTAGTGATATCCACGCCCTTGTTGGGGACGTGTTAGATGGCTTGTTCATGCAATTACAGATTGTTTGAGTCACCCACGTCACTCTTTTTTTCCCATGCATACCAAGCAAGACACAATGTGGGGCAGTACCCCCCTAGAGCCGTCTCAATCCGCTGCCATCTCCTTACTCCCGATTGTTCATACATCTCAATGTAAAAGTACCGGAACTGTATGACTGAATGCTGTCAGGCCGTGAGGGGAGAAGGCGAGCACAGAGTGGGTAGAGTTGCATGTGGTAATCAAGTTTCTCATAGCATGCTGGGTGGGGAGGGGAGGGGGAAGGAATGGATCCAAGGGGACAATTCGAGGCTGGGATGGGTGAGGCTTTTGGATGGTGGAGATCTGGGTTAGCTGAGGGGGGACGAGGGCTTGGATTTAAGGTGCCTATACGACAAGATTGGTGCTGATATAACCAAGGATTCAGTGGATAGGATAGAATCTGTTAAGTCTGTGAGGAGACAATAAAGTCTGTGCAGTGACCTTCAGGGCCTGTGCTAGGATTTAGGGCATCCTGAGCCCTCAGGGTAACTTTTGAAAAATCTCTGAAATGCCCTGGTTTTTCAGGGCAAAATTCCCTGGCCATCCTGAAATTTCAGGGCACCAGCAGAAATTCATCTGGATGAGTCAGGGCAAAAAATACAAGGCACTAAAGAGGATGGAGGGGAAGGCACGAAAGGAGCAGGTTGTTCACTGGTTTCACTTCTACTAGCTGAGGAAAAACATTGGTGGGGGAGGGGTGGGGTCAAAACTAGCACACACAGCCCCAGCCTCCTTCCTCCCCTCTCCCCCGCTCCCCCCTCCACCCTTTCTCCCCTTCCCACGAGTCAGGGCATCCCTCTACATTCACCCTAAAGCTTCAGGGCAAAATTTCACTGCCATTCTGAAATTTCAGGGCAAAACACATGGATCATCCTGACGTCACAGGGTGAATTTCAACGTCATTCTGAAATTACAGGGCAAACTTAAAACACCATCCTGAAATCAGGGTAATCAGGATGTTTTGCCCTGATATCGTGGGCCCTGGTGACCTTGTTGAATAATGATTGAAAGTAAACAAGATGATTGAAAGATAGGAGTACAAGAGATTAAGTAGAAAACTAGCTAGCCATGTACTCTGAGGGGTACATTTCCTTATTAACTGTATTGCATGGCTACAGTAACCGTGACTATTGCTATGCTCGACAGTTACCATGTTGCAGTGAATTAACTGTCGCACGGTTACTGGATTGTCAAGGGTCACGACCGTTGACTTTCTCAGACGGTTGACCTTCGGGTGACTCTCGACATTCCGCATGCTCTATATGAGCTATTGCGGTACTGGTACAGTGGAACAGCTTCGGGAATGCTTTATATAACATTTCGGTTATTCCAACAGTTGGATTGGAAAATGAGTATTTGGGGGTAGCATGAGGAAAGATGGCTACGAGCAGATCAACTAGATCCTATAAAGGATACCACGAAATTTCAGGAGACAAATGACAATCTGAAGACAAATTTAGGGGATTTTTAAACCCTAATCTATACCACTGTTGAAATGCTGTCATTTTTGTTAGACGTTCAGGCACTTTTGAGTAATCCACAAGTGAATGAATAGAAAAATGGTGTCGCTAATTTAGGTTCTTGCTAACTCTAACCAACTCGATATCACATTAACAACAAGCATAATACGGTCTGTGTAAGTATACTCACACTCTTACCATGCAAGCACGCACCATGGTACAGTTGCCTACCGTACTACCTGCTACGATCAGAAGGTGATCGCTGCCAGAATCTTCTCGAGAAGGTTCGCACGCAGGTTAGATAGACTAGGTGGGCCCTTAACCTCAATAGCATAGCGAATATAAAATGCTTGAGATGAGTTTATGTCTGAATGAGGAATGAATGTTCCATTGATGTTGGTTGGGGTACATATAACAAACCCTAACTTCTGTACCCCCTAAGACAAACCTCACTACAGGCTACAACATTTGACACACCCCCATAGCCTAAGTGAGGGGTGTCTAGCAAAAACAAAAAAAAAGAGTACGGTCACAAGACCAGTCCAAAAGAAAACAAAGCTCAGGGTGGATCACAACGTCACCACACACTCTGAGCACAAGCAACAGTGGCCACAAGGCCAGTCCAAGAGATCACAAGTATATATAGTAAGTGTACAGACGAAGCAGGCAATAAACTCAAGTCTACGCATGATTAGAACCTGTGTCAACAAGGCCTAACTGCACACAACACCTCTGGTGGTCACAAGGCGGAAGCGCCTTGGTGAAGATGTCTACAGTGTTGGCCTCGGACTCTACAAACTCGAAGCGAGCCTGTCCACGCCTCTGCAACTCTCGCAGAAGAAAGTACCTGACGTGAATGTGCTTCACTCTGCTCTCCAGTCGCGGCTCACGACAGAGGAGGATCGACGCCTTGTTGTCAGTAAACAAGGTCGGTGCAGAGCTCGGCCGCTCACCAAGGTCGGCGAGCAAGAAGGTCAACCACCGCAACTCCTGTGCCGCCATGGCACCAGCGTAAATCTCAGCCTCAGCTGTAGAGGTCGAGACAGAAGAGGAGCGCGTGGAACGCCAGGAAACAACTCCAGAACCCAGACTGAAACAGTACCCCTGAGTAGACCTGTGAGTCTCAGCGTCGTCAGCGTAAGAGGAGTCACAGTGACCAGTGAGTACGACAGACTGCTGCCCTCCAAGAACTAGCCCCACGCCTGATGTAGTCGCTAGGTACTTCGCCACCCTCACAGCTGCCGTCCAGTGAACAGGACGGTGTCTCCCTGGCGCAACAAAGCGCGCAAGGATGCTGAGAGGGAAGGCGAGGTCCGGGCGAGTACAAGTCATCAGGTACATGAGGCAACCCACAAGCTCTGCGTAGGGACCACTAGGCTCAAACGGCTCGTCAGGAAAGGGACCAGTGAGTCTGTGGTCAACAGCTAGAGGTGTGCGCTGTACGGTGGAGTGCTGAAGCCCGAACCGCTGAAGGACCTGCTGCACCATGTGTGACTGTGAGAGTGTAATGGTGCGAGCGGCTCTGTCCCTGGTGATCTGCAGGCCAAGGTAGTGGCGCAGCTCACCAAGATCAGTGCACGTGTGTCTCTTCTGCAGTTCGGACTTCACGTCTGCCAAAGCAACCCTGTCCGAAGTGGCGAAAACGAGGTCGTCGACGTAGACCAGAACAAAGAACGGTGTGGAGCCACGTCGAACGAACAGCGACGGGTCGGCAGAAGACGGCTGGAACCCAAGGTCAGAGAGGGTAGAACGCAGAGTGTCGTGCCACTCACGAGGGGCCTGGCGAAGACCGTAAACAGGTCGCCTCAGCCTCCACTGGGTCCCAGGAGGGAAAGTGCCAGTGAAGGCCGAGGGACGACGCAACCAGACCTCCTCGTGTAGACTGCCCTGAAGGAAAGCAGTGGAGAAGTCAAGAGAGTGTAACTCGTAGTCTCTCTGTGCTGCTACGTGTAGTAACACCCGAAGAGTGGTCATCTTCGGGGTAGGTGCGAAGGTCTGAAAGAAGTCAACTCCCTCGCGCTGACTGAAACCTCTAGCCACGTAGCGCGCCTTGAAGACCGGGGGAGATCCCGGTGGCCGCTTCACCCTGTAGATCCACATGCCGTCGACTACGTTCGCCCTAGGGGGGGGAACCTCATCGACGTAGGTGCCTGTGGATCTGTAGGAAGCCATCTCTGCGTCCATGGCAGCTCTCCACTGAGAGGCCCAAGGCCCTGACACTGCCTCAGCGTAAGTGCGAGGAGTCGGAATGTCAAGGGCGTCGGGGTCACCCTCAGGGGCGAGGAGCATGGCACAGAGATGAGGGGAAGCGGCCGCCAGGAACTCTAGCTCAAACTGTCTGTCCTCTAGGGCGTCACAGCCAAGGGCAGACACACCCCCGACGGCCAGAGGACTGGTAGGAGGAGCAGCCACAAGCGTGGTGGCGTAGTCAAGGCGGCGGGTAGAGGCAAAGTCAGTAACTGCGGCAGTAAGAGCGGACACAGAGGACACAGAGGCACGAGGGTGAGTAACAAGAGAGGCGAGAACACGAGAGAGAACAGGACGGTACGTGCGGTAGTAGTCAGTGACAGGAGTAGGGAGCGACACAGAGAGGGCCGACTCAGGAGGAGACGGAAGCACAGACTGAGACGGACGAGGTGGACTAGAAAGAAGGAAGGCAGTACGAAGGTCAGTGAAGGGAACAGGAGACGAGGGACGAGCACGAGGGGAGCGACGAGTAGCCCAAGAACGAGACGGAGGAGGAGAGGACAAAGGCGGAGAACTGGGGAAAACAGCGGGGGAGGAGTCAGGAGGAGGAAACGTGGGACCGTAGACAGGAGGAGAGGCGGAGGAGGGAGGAGAAGGGGAGGGGAGACCAAGGATCCGAAGACCCGAGACAGGAGGAGGAAGTGGCTGCTGCTGCTGCGGCTGCGACTGCTGCTGCTGCGGACGCGGCTGCTGCTGGGACTGCTGCTCCTGCGGGTCCAGCTGCTGCTGCTGCTGCTGCTGCTGCTGCTCCTGCGGCTCCAGCTGCTGCTGCTGCTCCTCCAGCCGCTGTAACTCCCTATCCTCTCTCTCCAACGCCAGCTGCTCGTCACGGGCACGGCGAACACGAGCCTGGTGCCTAGTCGGGTAGGGGTGGGGGGGTGGAGTAGTGTCCGAAGCAGCGGCAGCTCCAGAGTCCACCCTAGAAGAACTAGGCGCACCACCCCCAGAGGCAGCACTAACACCAGCTCCAGACCCAGGCTCACCTGAACCCGAAGAAGGCGCACCCTCACCCCCAGACGCAGCACCCCCAGTGTCCGCGCGGCCAGCACCAGCTCCCGGACGACAAGAGTCCTCTGCACCCACCGGGTCAGCTCCAACTCCAGCTCCAACTCCAGCACCCCCAGAACCAGAAACTCCAGTGCCAACTCCAGCTCCAACTCC